ATGTATGTATGTGTGTATGCACGCAGTTCATAAACACTACCAAACATCTGTCGTCCTCATCTCTCCTTCTTTTCTTTGTATGTTCCTCTCTTGTAGTAGCGCCTCTAATCATCGGCACTTACATGGCCTGTTTGTGTTGCAAGTGCCGTAAGCCGCTTACTGAATTTAAACCAAACTTGCCTCTCTAGTAAGATTACACTCCGTTACATTAGAGTTATACTTTCTAAGCGTATTCGGGAATTCCCGTCCCTGATTAGAGGAAGATAGGGCGCCTTGACTTTGAACTTCTTCTCCTCCTCCCTCCTCCTTATACCCGCCCCCCTTTCCCTCCCTTTTCTCCTCCTCCTTCCTGCTGCTCGTGTTGCTATCTAGACCGAAACCGCAAGCACTTAGGAACTAAATTTATCTGCGGGTGAAGTTGCAGATTTCGCCGAGTCGTCGAGGATGAAGAGGAATCTGTTTTGGGCAGTGGCTTTCCCCCATGTCAGGGGTTATAAAAGCTTGCTCTTTGTTTGTTTTGGTCATTTCTTCGAGTCGCGCTGTTGAACCAACAGCTTGTGTCGTTTCTGCTGCTCTCTAACTCTAAGGAGGTTCTTTCAGGCCCCACTGACTTTTGTTAGCTCAAACCCCAGAGGAATTAGAATTTTTTTTAGAGGTCGGTGTTTGTTTTGTGTGCGTGTCGTGTTCATCTCATTTCGTCCAAAAAGAGGAGATAGTTGTCTTGTTATTTGTAACGGTGGGAGATAGCTTTTATTGTTTTAAGGGAGTTGAGATGTTGAGTTATCATTAGTCTTTTTTCTCGCGGGCACAAGCGCGCGGGCGTGTATGTGTGGTTATTTAGAATGTTCATCTCTTTTTTGATAGACGTGTGTGATTTTCGTTGATCAAAATTTGTGCTTGTTGAATGGGCTATTAATCCCCCCGGAGTTCATCGAATTGATGACTTAATTTTTGTGATACTAAACCTCTTTTACTTTAAAACATAATTGAATTCGTACTGTAATTGCTTAGAAAGGCCTCGATTTTTAAATGTGAAAACAGACAGGGTATCTATTTTGTTAATGGGTGGTTGGCGGGAGGTCTGGCATGGTCTTCTCTTTCTTTCCCTTCAAACATATACAGTCCTTATTTTTCTTTTTTCTCTTTTTTTGTATTTGTTACACTCTTGTAACACCTCTAAGCCTTGTCACTTATTTGACCTAATCGTATTTTAAGTTCCGTAAAACTCTTAATAAAACTAAAACTAACGTGTACTGTTATTGATTAGTGTTATGTATCGATTTGTGCGTGTGCGTGTGCGTGCGTGCGTGCGTGCGTGCGTGCGCGTGTGTGTGTGTGCGTGTGTGTGTGTGTGTGTGTGTGTGTGTTAACTGACATAATTTCTATAAATAGTTTGTTGCCGGAGAAAAGGGTGCTTGGGGATTTCCGACTGTAGCGTCTTTGTCGTGCTGTGAGTGTGATACAACAAGTTACATGCACCTAGTCCAACACTTGAGTGGGTGGTTAGCGGGTGATCTGGTGTGGGTTTATCCTTCTGTGTATGTGTGTTTGGTGTGTGTGTGTGTGGGGGGGGTTATTTTATATTATGTAAAAGTAGAGTGAATACGTTTATCACTTCTTTAGTGTATCAGTGGTAAGGCTTTAGTACAATATCTTCTTGTTTTGGTTCAGTATCTCATCAAGTTTGTATTTCCCTGAACGTGTAGGATATATGTACGTCGTTAACGAGCTCCTGAAGTCTCGTGACTGGTAAGGTTATTGACCCCGTGTGTGGAAGACATTGGTTCGAATGACTCAGACTCAGATTCTCGGGCGATCATTGTCTAGAAATGAGAAAGTAGCTTTCCATGTTGTGGTCAACATTACTTTGTACTTAGTACCTGGTTTTTCTCTGGTGTAAGGATGTGTCGCGTGACTTAAGTCTCTGGTGTCCGCCATTGTCTCGCAGTGCTGAGCATGACATTGAAGGGACCCGATGTTGTCGGTGCAACAGGCAGTACTATGCCAGGATTAGTCGGCAACGGTAACCAGAGCTCTGCTGGGCTTTCTGGTAATAAGAAATCCTCCACCACCAACCCTGCCCCTCACCTGCACAGCCAGCCTCCCCCCATGCTGGCGGGGGTTGACGTAGAAGAAGAGGAGGAGGAAGAAGAGGAGGAGGTTGAGGATCGTGTGGTGATGATGATGAGCAGCCGGTCTGAAGAAGACGGCGAGGATGAGGTGGACGCTCGTTTGACGCTCACGCCGGAGTCTTGCGCGGACACGACGACTCGCCCGGCACACGCCCACCACCACCCCGCCCACAACCTCCCCCACCTCCCCCACCTCATCCCCCATCACACCCACCACAGTGTTGTGATCATCCAGCAGGCTGGTGTCTCTCCGTCTCCCAGCGGCAAGTGCCCTGGTGGCACTGGTTGTGATCGCGTTGATAACGATGACGACGACGATGACAACACCGTCCACCACCCCCACCACCGGGAGACGAACCCTAACCCCCTGGAGAAGGGGACCCAACTACCCCCCGGTGACGTGGCGCCACGTTCTAGCCGTCGGTACCCGCGGGAAGAAACGACCATGGCGTCGTATTCCTCTGACTCAGAGGACCTAGACGACTCCACGTCCAGCCTTGACCGCCAATCTGACCACTCTCTAGGCGACGCACGTGCTGTGGACATCCACAGAACTGACTCACCTGATGACGTCACTGTAGACCCTCAGTGGTACGGTGACGACTCACAGATGACGTCATCTTGCCCGGAAGAGACGGCTGGGGATGTAATCCACCATGTTGAGGACAAAATTGAAGCAGGGGACCGTGATAATAATAATGGTGTTAACGACAATAACAACAATAATAGTAACAACATCCATGCTGTTCATACTCGTGATTATGAGGTTTTGGGTGACGGAAGTAACCGATTGCAAGGTGGTGACAATGACCGTTTGGATGCTAAGAATACTCAAAGAGAGAACATTTCTTCCAGGAAGGAGATCAGGTCTGTCAAACGGGCAGACCGGAGTGGGAGATTACAGGGGAGACCCAGCTGTGATAAACCGATTGCAAAAGAGAACGAACATTCTTCTTCTCTGTCTTTTACTGATAGAAGCGATTCGGAGGGTTTTTCTGCTGGCGACTCTCGCCATAAATGTGTGACTAGCGAGGAGATTCTAACTAGCGAACCCTCAGACAAGGACGCTGTTGTGCAATCAGTTCTATTGGTTGATGATAGGGCTGCAGAGAAATCCGTGATTGTTGGCCATATGGGTGATGAAGTTTGTGATGATAAAAGTCAAGTCGTCGAGGGGGAGAGCTCTTTCAGCGCTTCCGAAAATACCGCCCCAAACGTTTGTTCTGGCACAGAGGAGACGGCCGGTGACGTCAGTGTAGATGGTGAGCAAAAAGAGGTAGAATCGGCCGGTCAAGAGGTCATTAGTCAACAGCTGCCGCAGGAGAGCCAGAGACAGAGGTCACTTGGTCCCGAGGCCAGCTGCGGCGGCGCTTCGCCGGACACCAAACCCTCCAAGGCACAGAAACAGTTACAGAGATCCAGTTCCTACCCGGAGGTCAAGAAAAAGGTTTTGTTTACACCCATAAGACCCAGTCCTGAGGAGTCGGGCTTGTTTCCAGGGAAGCAGAGTCTCTCCGCCTCTCAAGCTGGCGTGGTTGTGCCGGACTCGGAGGTTGGAAGTAGCGGGTCTTGCGCCACGTCTGCCGTGGAGAAGCAAACCTCCACGACCTGTGCGACCCATGTGGACCAGAGCGTGGAGGCTGAGGTCGCCAGCAGCAGCTGTGAGCAGACACTGACAGAACAAGACACAACAAGCCTGCTGCCTCAGGCATCCAGAGACGTGGGCTTGAAGCGACAAAAGGCTCAGCCGTCCAATCCTCCCGTGGCGCGGGTCAACCCACAGGCAAACCCCAACGCCTCCCAACCTCTACAGCAGCAGCAACATCAGCTGCAACAGCAACAACAACAACAGCAGCAGCTACAGCAACAACAGTTGCAGCAGATGCAACAACAACAACAGCAACAACAACAGCTGAAGATGCAACAGCAGATTCAGCACCAGCAGGCCCACCAGTACATGACCTACTGCCAGCAGATGTTTCCTGGGAGTGGCGGAGGCTTTTTCCTCTCCGACTCTTCCGGTGGTTTTTTCCCCTCTTCGGGCTACCCGGTGCTGTACGTGCAGGGCCCGGGCGGGAGCTACTACGTCACACAGGACTTTTCCAACGGGGACTACTGCTCTGCCATGCCAGGGATGACCCAAACCGCCGCCACTCACGCTCCATCTTCCTCCAAACTGTTACCTCCACCCGCCGCCCCCAGCCCCTTGCCCACCGGGTCGGAGGTCAAGTACTCCAATCCGACGGAGGTGGCAGGGAAGTCCCCCCAGCCTCAGGTGTGCGGGAAGACAGTTCCGATCCCCGCCTGTGTGACGTCGACGGGAGGCACTCCGCACAAAGATGGCCGCTCGTCTTCCTCCTCTCACTCCCGCCACGGCTTGGACCCACTCACTGACGTCACGGCTTGTCGCCAGGGGAGGGCGGGGAAGGAGGAGGGTCACCATCACCACACGAGGCGCGGCGCAGCTACCCCGCCAGGAAAGAGGCGCCACAAGCAGCCTTTACTACCGGACCCCATGATCCCCAAATTCTCCGAGCTGGCCTCGATGGTGTCTCCTGCCTTACATTCTCACGCTCTGCCTGCGGAGATTCTGAACAGTGCTATGCAATTGCAGCAGCAACAACAGCAGCACCATCACCACCACCACCAACAGCATCAACAGCACCAGCACCACCTCGTCCCCCCTACCCAGCAGACACCTCTTCCGTCCCATCTTCAACCACATCCCCACCACCACCACCACCCTGCTCATCCTCTTCAGATGCTGCCGCACACACAATCCCCAGTCCTCCATCATCCTCACCCCCACCACCACCACCACCCCGCATCCGGCAGTGCCAACAACAGCCCGCCAGTCTTCTCCGCGGACCTCCACACTTGTGCCAACAACAGCAACAACAACCACACCACCACGCCTGTCTTTGTCCAGCCTGGCCTGTCTGCTGGTGACGTCTCCTCGTCCACCTTACCACACACTGCTGCTGTTACACCCTCGGCTGCTACTACTATCGCTGCTACTGCTGCTGTAGCCGTCCCTTCTAATCTGGTCTCCGGTGTTCAAGGACACGGTAACAACCTCACCCCCACCGCCACTGACGCCACCATCAGCAACACCGCTAACAGTAGTAGCACTTGTGATAACCCTCTCTCGGACGCTGTGGATTTTGGGTACGCCACACATCCGGTGGGTTACGTCACCGACGCCACAGGGCTGGTTATCTACGGTCCTCAGCCCACCAGTGGCGGCGTAGGGGGTGTGGCAGGGGGCGTGGCAGGGGGTGTGCCTGCTACATTCGGGGTGAGGCTGGATTCTTCCGCTCACCACGATCACATTGCTCACACATTGCCGCCTCCTTCGCCCGCACAGGCTGCTGCAGCTGTAGCGGCGATGCTGCAGCAACAGCATCAGCATTATCATCATCAACAACAGCAACAACTTCAACAACAGCAACAACAACATGCCCAGGCCTCCTCCAATAGCGCTGCTGGAACGGAACCCCAAGAGACTGTTGTTGGTCCAGCAAGTGGGCTGATGCCTGTAACACAACAGATGCCGCTTTTGTCTCCTCGACAACAGCAGCAGCAGCAACA